GTGCGCGGTCCCGGGCCGCACTCGAACCCCCGCGGGCCCAGGGGAAGCCGGGCAGCGGCGGGGGTCGAGGCAGCCGGGATGCCGAGCCATCCGAACTGCAGCTCCGGAGGCCGCAGAGCGGGAGACCGCCTGGCGGCCCCTGGGGAGCGGTGGCCTCCAAGGAAGCAGCCCTCGGAGGGCACGGGCCGCGGGCACCCGCATCCCTGGGATACCGCACAGACTTCACCTCGGACCCTGAAGGAAGCCTGAGCCTGAGCCCCGCCCCCCGCCCAGGAAGGGGCTCCTCGGACACCCTCACTTTTCAGATCGGGGTAGGGAAGAGTAGTAGATCTGCTTGGTGTGTGCACGGGTACTGGGGCTCGAACTCAAGATCTAGGCGCTGTCACTTAGCTTTTCCCTCCCCCCCCCCCCCCCCCCCCCCGCACCAAAATTGTAAAGCTCATTTTGGACATGGATACAGATTTTTAAGAAGACTCTTCTGGCAAATATTAACAAACTGACTTCTAAAGCACATCAAAACATTGTTTTTGTCCATAACCAAATGAATCCAATGAATGCAAAGATGATGCAACAAATGCAAATAAATAAATATGAAAAACCAACGGAATAGCAAAAAACACATGATCATTTAAATGATACACAATCATTTGATAGAACTTAACATTCCTTCAGGGTAAAAAGATGTTATTTATAGAAGAAACATAATGATGACCATAGATAACAAGCTTATGGCTAACATACTGGATGATGTTAAACTCAAAATTTTCTCTTTAAAATCTGGATAGAGACAAGAATGCCATTTACCATTTCTATAAAACATAGTAGGGATAGTAGTCATAGTAGTAGTAATCTTAGAAAGAGCAATTATGCAAACAAAAGAGATAGTTTTGCTTTATCTTTTCCAAAATTGAAAAGAGAAAATAAACTGTCAGAAAATACCTCGCTCATCAGAAGATGAAGATAATAATAATAATAATACAATGAAGAAGAGGAGGTGGAAGAAGAAGAGGAAGAGAAGGAGGAGGCAGAGGGGGGGTAGGGTGAGGAGGGGGAGGGGGAGTGGAAGGAGGAGGATGAAGAGGAAGAAATGGAAAAAGATTAGCAAATACTCTGATTTTTAAAACGGTAATAGATGATAGATCCAAATTTATTGTTCTCAAAAGAAAACACAATTAAATCCAAAAAGTAGTGGGAAAATGGTCAGTGTCACATATAAGCACAGAGATGTGAAACAGAATGAGCTATCACCTTTCATCAGTTAGAATAATTGTCACCAGAAGGACAAAGGATGACAAGCCTTGGAGAGGAGGTGGAGGAGGGGGAACCTGTATCCACTACTCACAGGGATGCACATGAGTGAGGCCATTATGAAAACACTATGTACATTCCCACAACTATAAAACATAAAACTATCATATGTGTGTGTGTGTGTGTGTGTGTGTGTGCATATATCATATCCTTTTCCCTTGGTATCACTTTTTTTTTGTCGATCATGGGGCTTGAACTCTGGACCTGGGCACTGTTCCTGCGCTCTTCAGCTGAAGGTAAGCCCTCTACCTCTTGAGCCACAGCGCCACTTCCGGTTTTCTGGTGGTTCATTGGAGATAAGAGTCTTGTGGCCCTGGCTGGCTTCAAACCACAGTCCTTAGATTTCAGGCTTCCCAGTAGCTAGGATTTGAGACAGGAAGTCTCTTAGTATACAGTGGGGGGGGGGGGTTGTCATTGCACCTTTTCTACAGGCCTGTGCAGTGTATCACTCCCTCCGTCACTCTGTCTTTTCCTCCTCCCCAGTCTTAAAACTATTTCAGTAGGTTCTGTCCTTCTGTTTTCATACATGCAGATAAGCTACTTGGACCATTTCCGGTTTTTTATAAAATTAGGAAACTGAGTCCCGCAGCCAAGCCCCTCACAGGTAAATGAGAGCCGAGTGCTTGATCTGCCTGTCATCTCTCAAGCCCTTCTCTTCTAGCTGTGCGTTCCCAGCTGCCCGGCTCGTTCCTGCCCTATCCTTCTAGACAACCATGGGACTGGCCCTCTCCTCTAAATACAGAAAGAGAAACAAGGGGTTGGGCCTGGCAGAACTGTCTTCTCCAAGTCCAAGAGGATGTGAGACTGCAAACACCCCAGCCAAGCCAGACCGGCCCAAGCCTGCCAGGTGACTTCCTCGCTCCTAGGTGAGAGGATGGGGAGGTAAGGGGAGGAAGCCTTTGCTCAGATCCACCCTGAATTTTGAGAATGTGGGGCTGGATTCCAAACAGTCTCCGTGGTGACTCTGGGGCTGGAATGCATCTGAAAACAGGAAGCCCAGGCAGCAGGAATGCGGTGCCTCAGCACAAGGCTTTGTGTGCGGCTGGAAGAACCCCCACACAGCCATCATACTCCCCTCCAGGCTATGGCCCCGCGCCCCCCCCCCCCACCAAGCCAGCTCTGGGCAGCCGCAGTCCTCACAGGGACCTTACTTCCCTTTACCTTCTGATGTACTGACTGTGGCAGGCCCAAGACCAGAGCCCTGCCCCTCCTTCCTGCTCAGAAGGCCCTGTGGCCCTGCATTGACCTACTACCTCTGCCAGTTCTTTTCCCTGCCTCTTCTACAAAGGGAATCAAGTCCCTCTGCCCCATGCTGGAAGGAGTGACAGCAGAAGCAGTCCTGGCTGTCCCCATCTCTTGAATTCCTGGGACAGAAGGTGGCCCAAGCAGAGTCATCTGTCAGGCTGCTTATCCACTGCCCCAGCTTCAAGAAACCATTTCCTGTGAACCCAGTGCAGAACTAGGCCCTGGGGAAGGACAAAGTCAAGGATCCATAGGCAAGCTTTGGTTCCATTCTAAGCCCCTTCCCCTTCTAACCAGGAGATTGTGGACTAATAACTTAGCCTCCCTGGCCTGTTTCTCTGATTATATACCCAGGATGACCCAATGCCTATCTCAAAGCTGTGAGAATGCAGTGAAAACATTTTCAATATCCTCAGTACATCCAAAGTGCCCTGGAATGTTAGCCTTTATTATCTAGCTGTGTAACTCAGAAAATGTCACTTTTCCAGCTCTGTCCACAGAGGGTGCTATTAGATGCTCTCAGCCACTAAGTCCAATCTGTCCTTTCTGAACTTATTTTCCCAAATGCAAAACGTACCAAGATGGGCAGTGTGGGTCACAGAGGGTCAGTATTCATGGCTGCCTGGCTTGGGCAATGATAAGGTTGGCGTAAAGGTCAGAGCCTTACCCCCACCCTGTCTACTACAAACTGATTTGGCTAATAACTCCATCTTCCAGAAGAATACACTACCAAGCCTGGGTTGGCTGTGGGGGCACAGAGAACTTAGGATCAACACCTTAGGACACACAGGTGGACGGCCAGCCGTCACAAGTAATGAACATGGGGCTGTGATGGGTGTTGGCTGGGATCCATTCAGCCTCCCAGCAACAGACATTCACAAACCCACTAGCATATTTATTTCCCAGGTGTCCTCAGTCCCCACTTTTCCTCTTGCCAGATACTGCTGTGACACCACTGGCAAACAGTTTGTTACAGGTGGAGATCTAACCATATCAATAGGCACATCTACTCTTCCTAACCTGTCACTTCTTGGTATAACACTATAAAGTATCCCAGAACTTTAAGGTGAATACACCAGTATTTAAGGTTCCTCCCTTAGTCTGAGTTCAGATCCCTGGTAGCCACTACTCTAAGCTAAGTTATGCAGCTCCAGTCTCCTGGCCTCTCAGTACTTCTTTTCTGGCCAAACTTTCCCATAGGCAGCCACTGCTTTGAACTCACTGAATATCCTTGGGTGCTTCAAGATAGCCCTTAGCATTTACTGCTGTGTTACATTATATTACCCATGTCAGCTTGATGGCTGCCTTTGTCTCCAGGAAAGCAGGGAAAGTGCTTTATTTTTCTGCATTCTCACTGTGCCAAAGCCCAAGTACTGTATGGTATGTGCCAGTGAACTGAAAGAATTCCTCTTCTGAGCACCCTCCCCTGCCATGAGATACACCAGGCACTAGGTGGCGTCAAAGAGGCCATCCCATTTCCTAGCAGATGCCCCACAGACTCTTGAGTTAGGCTAGTTTTTCTTACCCATAAAAAATAAAAGGCCCATCCTCAGGCAGCCAGCCAGGCAAAAGGTGAGACAATTGTATCAAGGTGCAAATTATATCCACAGGTGTCTGAAGAGGCAACACAGACTGCCAACATTCCTTCCCCCAGAGTCAGATAGCACAAGGCTGCCAGCAGACTGTGGGCCTCTGAAGCCAGCTTTCTTCTCTGTGAAAATAAGGCTTGAGTTGCCCTGTCTCCCAAGGGTGGCTGGGGGCAGGACTGGAGCATCCAGCAACACCCTGGGGAACTTTCTGAAACGTCTTTTGGGATCAGGATGAGAGCAAGTTGGTGAATCAGGCCATAAATCAAGGCCCAGCAGGAGACCCCACGGCCCCCTTCCACTCAAATGCAGATAAGCCCAGCACTGGCTTTTCCAATCAAAGGAGCCAGGGAGTGTCCAGGGAACAGAGACAAGCAAGTGTAGGCAGGTGATTTCGTGCCCCTCTGTTCCCTCCATGACCGGGTCTCCGCTTCTGTTAGCTCATCTAAGTACATCAGTATTTGAGTCGCTGGCATTCAAATCAAGGAGAGTGAGGGCTGAGGACAGACCAGCCTTTTGCTGATGACAAAAACCTCTTCACCCCAAAGCCTTTTGGTCCTCTGCCCCAGTTCCCAGTGAGAAATTCTTCCCAGAAAAATGACATCTTTATAGAAGTAATGGTGAAGGAAGCACAAGCACACATGTGCATACACACACACACACACACCCGTGCGCGCACGCACGCACACACACACAAACCCTACAGAAGCAAGCCTCTGATATGGGCACACTAGGTAGGAGACACGAGGCAGGTAAGGACTGAGGGAGGGGAGATAGGAGGAAGACAGGAAGGAAGCAATACAGACTCCCCACTCAGCAGCAAGGGTCCTCGCCTTCCCAAGATCCCAGAAAGAAGGGGAGCACTTGATTTTATCTATGTATACATATTTATAGAACGTAAATGTCAAGAATTTTGCATAGTGACTATCATTAGCCTAGAACTCACCCCTTTCCTTCTAGATAGTTCCATGCCTGCCCCACCCTGTACACACAAGCTGCAAAGGCAGTGGCCACTGAGGCCTGTCCTGCAGGAGAAAAGGCCAGGGAGGGCCGGGCTGCTCTCAGTAGCCGCATCCCAGGCTGTGGCCTCACCCAGCGAGACCCTTGGGCCTCCAAACTTGGTTCACATAAGAGCCACCACCCACGATCGCCCTTCCCTGACAACTTGTTCTCCGTATGGCCCTTCTACGAGTGCTGGAGTGAGACAGGCCGAGCACCACCGGCTCAGGCCCGAGAGCTGAGGGCGGCAGGCGCGGAGTAGCGTTGGCGGGCATGCTTCTCGCAATACAGCTCATCTCCCACCCAGAAGTGGCCACGCATCTTCAGGTTGAGCCCGCAGTCTGCACAGGTGTAGCAGCTGGGATGGCGGTACGACCCCTCCTGGATGCGTACTGCCTGGTTCCTGCAGAGGAGAAGCAGCCATCAGCCTCGCACAGCGGCCGGATGGATGGCCAGGGGAGGAGGACTCCTTTCCCAGGGACCTGGTCCCCAGCCAGCCTAGGGACCAGGCTGTGTCCTGGGACATAAAGCCTTCTCAGATGATTCCCAGTATACACCAACACACACATCCCAACACACATATACATCCCAACACATACATACTTATGACGCATATTTATACCCCAACACATACACCAGCACACATACACACACCCCAACACATACACCAATGCACATATGACACATACACACATATACACATCAATATATACACATACTCCCAATATATAACACATACATCAACACACATACTCACACCCCAACACAATATACCAATGCACATACCCAACACACACTTAACACGTATACATATACCCAACACACACAGATTCTGACATGTACACATCTCCCAATATACACACCTAGCACTCATAATAACACATATAAATCTAACACATGTACCCATATACTCAACACACACCAACACTTGACACATATACCAATCCACACATGCACTAATCCACACTCCCCACTTGAGACTCCTAATCAGTGCTCAGGGCCTGGGGGTATTGTCTCTGAGCTTCTTTGGCTCAAGGCTAGCACTCTAATACTTGAACCACACACCATTTCAGCTTTTTCTGTGTATGTGGTACTGAGAACTTGAACCCAGGGCTTCATGCATGCTAGGCAAGCACTCTACCATTAAGCCACATTCCCAACTCTTAATCAAGAATTTTTAAAGTCACTCCACCTCACATAGACCAATCAGATCTCCCAGGACAAGGTAGTGATGTGGGCTCTGCCCTGGTCTCTTCAGGGCTGAGGCCTGGGCACCATTTCATCTTGCTGGTAAGAAAGCTACAGTCTACAATGGCAAACCCAAAAAAAAGCAAGTCACCTTACACTCAAGGCTGGCACTGAGGGGATTTATGGGGGGTGGGGGAGGGATGGGGGGTGTTTTAGGTCTTTTGTCTATCTTCAGGGTAAGTGGCCACACCCTGATGCTAACCAAACCGTGAGAAAAATGAGTAATCCTATAGAAAATGGCGCCTGCTCCACACAGGGAGGGGAGGAGGGGTGGTGAACTTTTCCAGGAGGAGGGCTTCATCTGAGGCACATTTCCAGAGGCTTGGAGATGATGGAAGAGAAGCCCAAAGTAGTAGCATTTCTCATTCCCCTGGGGAGAGGGGAGGAAGTGGGGAGGAGGAGATGGAGGGTGGACAGGAAGCAGCTAGCCAGCCATTCATTCTGAGAAGGCTGGCTCAGCCTAGAACAAAGCCAATCACAACCATTCCTTCCAGGTCCCTGACTGGCAAACCCCCTCTCACACCTCAGCGCCCCCTGCCGGTCTCCCAGGAAGCCTCCCTGGCCCATCCCGGCCTTTACTCACGTGATGCTGGTGTTGCACTTCTCACAGGTGTGGAACTTGGGCGGGGTAGCTAGGGTCCTGGAGGTAGACAGGGAGGCCTGAGGACTCAGCGAGCTGGGCAGGAAGGCAGGTGTGCCACCTGGAGGGACAGGAGGCAGATGCATGAGAGCTGGATCACCCACAGTGGCTCCAGCCATAGTTAGTGATGCTAGACTGGCTCTTCCACGCTGCTCCCAGACTCGTGGCCAAAGGTACCCGTGCACAGGAGCCTCTAAAGTGCCCAAGGCTGTGCACGCAGGCCAGCAGGAAGGAAAGGAATCAAGCCAGACCCTTGACTGAGGCTGGTGGAGAGCCAAGGCCAAGTTCACCAGGAAGGTCTCTGCTGAGTGCCTACAGCCAAGTAGGCATTCCTTCTCTTGTGGTCCAATCACAATAATACTAGGTTTTAACAGAACCGCGATGTCTTTGGGCATCTAGCCAGTGAAGACGCTGAGCCGGTGCCAGCTCATATCTGTAATCCTGGCTATTCAGAAGGCTGAGATCTGAGGACCACTGTTTGAAGCCAGTCTGTGCAGAAAAGTTTGTCTTAGCTCCAACTAACCACCAACAAGAAGTGGAGCTATGGCTCAAGTGACAGAGGGCCAGCCTTGAACAACAACAAAAAAAACCTAGGAGACAGTACCCAAGCTCTGAGTTCAAGCCTCAGTACCAGCATCAACAATAACAACAAAAGAGCAAGTCTATTCCCACAGAAGCATCTTCTTCCTGGAGAGCTGGCCAAGCCCATTTACCCCAACACACAGGGTTCCACAGGGGACAAAGTGATTGTGACCACCTTGTATCCTCCATCTACAACTGCTCCACTACAAATGAATACATGAGCGGCTGGTCTATGTGGAGCACTGGACCCCCCTAAAAGCCCCCCCCCATCCCACTCTCTAAGCTACGTTCTATGACTCCAGGCTGGGCTGGGCTGGGTTCACACCCAAAAGCTCTTTGCTGCTCACCAGGCCACCATCTTAAGACTGTTTATTAAAGCCTTAATCATCTTTCGGAGCCATCAAATCCTTCCTACTCCCAGAAGCCCTCCCCAGAGAGCCACACCCCTCCAGCTGACTTTATCACTCCCTGGGTGCCTTCCTGGTCCCAGCCAGCCCTTTAGAGTATTTATCTGGTAACTAGTGACCGGGGTGTAAGCTCCCTAAGGCCAGTGTGGGTGGCTTGATGTAGTCCCAGGGTCCCCGGCCTGGCGTTAAGCCCTTAATAGGCTAAAGAAACTAAGAAAGTCTTAGGCCAGGCACCAGGTAGCTGACGCCTGTAAACCTAGCTACTCAGGAGGCTGAGATCTTAGGGACGTGGTTAAAAGTCAGCCCAGGCAGGAAAGTCCCTGAGACTCTTATCTCCAATTAACCACCAGAAAACCAGAAGTGGAGCTGTGGTTCAAATTGGTAGAGGGCTAGCCTCAAGCAAATAAAGCTCAGGAATAGCGCCCAGGCCCTGAGTTCAAGCCCCAACTCTGGCAAAAATAATAATGATACATGAATAAGTCTGAGTTTCCTTAGTCTGCAGACCTCTCCCGCCCTCCCCAGCCCCGGGCCTCACCTCTTTCCTCAGCCTCCAGCGCTTCCTGCAAGAGCCGAAAGGAGCTGGACTGCCGCGGGGCCGCCCGCCCCTCGCGGTTCTCCTGCAGCATCTTGTACACTTCCGAGTCCTCTTCCAGTTCCACGCTGCAGGGGTGGGGACAGACAGGAATAATGTCAGATGCTGGGGTGTTAAGGACACATCAGGGGGCAGGACAATTGCATGGGTGGGGGTGGACTTAGAAGGGCAGGGATTCCCATCCCTCTTGGGCAATCCAGTCTGCTTCCTGTCCCTCCAGGAGCCCACCCAACCCTGCAGGGCCTGCTGGTACCTGGGCCTGGGGCTGGAGGATCGGGGACCAGAGGAAGACGGCAACACCAACACAGCCGAGTCGCCAGCGCGGCCAAGGCCGGCCTGTGGGAGGAGAGCGTGGGGAGGAGTCAGCTGCTCCCAAGGAGGCCAACAAGGTCCGTGTACATGGCCACATGTAGTTCTCTAGGCAGTCGCCAGGGGGAGGCCTATCCCCATTGGCCAAAGGGCCCACGTGAGGGGCTGACAATTGGGCCTGGCCCCAGGAGCTAGGGTACCAGGGATGGGAGTGATCTAAAATGAGAAGGGAGGCCCGTGCTATGGAAATGCTTGAGCCAGGACAAGGGTCAGCATAAGGACACTAGGTGATGAGCACACAGACATCCTCTAGGCACATTCCCTTCTGCTAAGTCATGCTATCTGTGCTCAAAGATGTGCACACTGGGGCCAGGCGCCAATCCCCACAGAGTAAAAGCAAAGTGGAAGCAAGTAGACCCTTTGCGGTAGGTCATAGAAACATAAAAGGCTAGAAGGAAGGAATCAGCTATCCCTTGAAGCCAGAGCAGGGCCTGAGCATCACACATGGCCCCCTCTCCTGAAAGCATCTAGCCATGCCCCTTCCCCTAGGACTTTTAGGAGCCATGCTCATTCTGAGCTAGTACCCATGCCCCGGGTGTGCCCGTGCATCTCTGGTTCTGACATCTGTGCTCAGATTGGAAATCTGGCCTCCCATGTCATTGACCAGCCCGCATCTTCAAGTCCCCCCTCCCTTATTCCTTTCCTCCAGCTGCACCGAGCTGCAGGAACCTGGGCATGCTCAGAGAGAGGGAAAGGGCGGCCTTGCTGGCTGACAACCCCCGTCTGGAGAAGGCAGGGGGGCTGAGGGCAGAGATCTTGGGAAGTCAAATTCTCCCAATTTTTTAAAAAATTGAAAGTCATGAGTGAAGTGATTTATGGGTCAAGTTCTAAAAGTGCATAAATCGACCGGATATTGGTGGCTCATATCTTTAATCCTAGCCACTCAGGAGGCAGAGATCTGAAGATAGTGGTTTGAAGCTAGGCCAGGCGGAAAAATCTGTGAGGCTCTTATCTCCAATTACTCAGCAAAAGGCCAGAAGTGAAGTTGTGACTCAAGTGGTAGAACTAGCCTTGAGCAGAAAAGGCCGAGCAAGAGTGCACACACACACACACACAGAGAGAGAGCGAAAAACAAAACACCCAACTGCATAAATTCTTAAACCAAAAGTGTAAACCTCTAAGTCTCAAAAACACAGCCTGAACTGGTCATTGATCAAAACGAACTAAGCAACTCAAGGGCAGTGGTGGGAGGGAGGGAATGAGCGGGAAAGAGGGAACAGCTGACACTAAGCAAAAGGAAAGGAATGTGCACATCACCCGATGTGGAAGAAATAACTGTATTGTCAAAGCTCATAGAATTCATAAACTGTATAGACCACAATAAAGGCACTTTGCCCCATGAAAAACAAACCAAAACAACAACAACAACAAAAACCCCATAGCCTGAGCCCCTCGCCCCCCCCCCAGCCCTCAGGTCGCATCACACGCCTCCATTCTCGGTGTCCTTCGGCACAGCGCTGTCTAGGTAAGGGGACTGAGGATGAGGAGCGCATATTTCCTCATCCGCGCTGCCTGGAGTCAGAGGCAGGGCTCCACCTCTGGCTCCTGAATGGCTGCCCAGCGCTGAGTGCACAATGAAGGACGTGAGATCGTTTCCTGAGGTCCTCAAGATCCTAGCTGGCCCCACCCGGGTCACCCACAGCAGTGGGAGGGAGGGTGGCCATCCAACCCAGGGTGCTTCAGGAACTAAGTCCTCACTCCCAGACAGCACTTAGCATCAGCTCGCCCAGAGGGGGACTTACCCTTTCCAGAAGGACACTGGAAGGGCTGGCGGGGTTCTAAGCCCAGGTTCTCTAGCCCAAGTCAGCCAGGAGCCCACTGCGGGGCCAAACCACCTGTGAGCCCTTCAGCCGAGGTCCTTCATGAAGATGGCGGCATGCCTTTCCCCTCCCCAACACAGGCAGCCGGAGACCCGGCCTCCACAGACAGGGCCTCAATCCAGTCCAGGAAGGTGCTTCCTTGTCACCTGCCCATCAAGAGCAGATCTGCAGCACACATTCCCCAAGGATTTCTGGGGGCACACATGTTCATGGGGGGGGGTAAGTACCAGGGTGAGGAGTGGAGGTGCAGTGCCAGGAGAGTGTCTGCCATTAAATAAGGTTGGGAACTTAATCAGATTGGACATCCAGCTTCATGCAGTCAAGTGCAGTGACTAGCAGGGACTGTGGGACTCTGACTGCTGCTCGGAGAATGTAGCCAAGTTCTGAGATCCAGAGAGGGACAGGGGCCTGCCCCTGGCCTCACAGCCGAGGTGGAACTATGACCGCCCCAGCTGGGTACGGGTAGCTCATGCTTGTGATCCTAGCCACTCAGGAGGCTGAGACCTAAGGATTTCAGTTTGAAGCCAGCCCTGGCAGGAAAGTCCATGAAATCTTATCTCCAATTAACCACCAAAAAGCTAGAAGTAGAGCTGTGGCTCAACTGGTACAGTGCTAACCTCAAGGCAAGAAAAAAAAATGCTAAGGAAAGCATCTAGGCACTGCGTTTACACCTCAGGATTAGTGAAAGAAAGAAAGAGATCAAGAGAGAAAGAAAAAGAGAAAAAGATGGCAGCTGCAGATGTTCAGTAACCAGATAGAGTCCTCTGTCCTTAGGCCAAGCTCATTTCAGCTTATCTCAGACCAAAGCCGCGCACATCCCTCCCCCACCAGGTCCTGCTTGCCCAGCCACCCCTCCCTCTCGCAGGGTGTCCCACAACTGCTCATTATTCTCCAACCCCTGTCCTGTTCCCCCTCCAGTGTCCAACAAAATGCCTGCTGAAGTCCTTGGGGCACTAGCACACACTCATCTATCACCTCCCAGAATGCCTCCTGCTTCTGCAATTAATAGCACACTCATTAATGCTTAATTGGCCCACAACTGCGTTTGCGTGTTTGTCTTATCTCCACAACTACATCTTACATTCTTCAAAGACAGGGATTTCATGAACACATCTCTGAGTGCCCCCAGCACATGCCCAGCTGGACCCTGGCCAGCCCCATGGTCCTTCACCAGAGAGCTGCCCCTTCCTCTCCAGAGCCCCGGCTTCCTGTTCCTCTCCCCCAGTCACCCCCAAGGGCTCTGCTGCCTGGAATGCATGACCCACCTGGGGTAGATTCCGGCAGCTGGCCCTCGTCTCCTTCACCCTACGGGCTGGACATGCCCCTGGCCAGTCTGCCTCCAGCAGCCAGCTCAGCAGTGTTGGCTGCCTTACTCCCTCACCTCCTCACCCCTGCTCTTGAGGAGGAGAAATGCCACGGGGTGGGGGGAGCTAAGCTGTCGCCAGCAGATAGCCAGCAAACGCCAGCAGATAGCCAGCAAATGAGGGGACCTGGGTAGAGGAGGAGTCCAACCCCCAGAACAGGCCAAGGACAATTTGGGGACAGAACCACAGCCCCGGGGGAGTTCTCCACACTGAGTCAGAGGAGAAGCAAGGTCTGGGGGTGGGGGCTGGGGGCTTGGAACAGGAAGGAATGTATTCAAGAGATGGAGCCAGAGCCCAGAGGGACCAGTCCCAACAACAGCAGCAAAACTATTTCAGCCACAGCCCAAGAGAAACATACTGAGGAGGGAGGAAGCTGGGGGCGGGGGCAGGGCCAGAAGAAGGAGAAATGTAGGCGTGCATGGGAGTGCAGGACCTGGCGCTGGCAGGGCAGACTCTGGTGCTTCACTGGCCCTCCACCAGAAGCACAGGCCTCCGTGGCTCAGGGGAGCGACACACCCGTCTCTAGGAGATGGCCTCCCAGGCTGCCCACGGCACCAGCTGCCTGCAGCCTCAAGGGCACCACTGGCAGCTGGCAGAAGGGGCACTGCGTCTCCTTCCCCGAGGAAGCCTTACCTGTTGGCCCGCAGGGCGGCCTCTGTAGGACAAGGGGTCAGCAGCAGTAAGGCCTGAAGAGTGTGTCAGACTCTGGAAACTGAAATGAAAGGAAATGGAGCCAGGTGCTGGCAGTCGCATCTGTAATCGTAGCTTCTCAGGAGGCGGAGATCTATGGATCTTATTTCAAAGCTCGTCTAGGCAGGAAAATCTGTGAGACTCTCATCTCCAATTAACCAGCAAAGGAAAAAAGAAAAGGAAGGAAGGAAGGGAGGAAGGAAGGGAGGAAGGGAGGAAGGAAGGAAGGAAGGAAGGAAGGGAGGAAAGGAGAGAGGGAAGGAGAGAAGGAAGGAGGGAGGGAGGGAGGGAAGGAAGGTGCCAGTGGCTTACACCTGTAATCCCAGCTACTCAGGAGGCTGAGATCTGAAGATTGAAGTTCCAAACCAGCCTGGTCAGGAAAGTCTGTGAGACTCATATCTCCAATAAACTACTCAGAAAAAGCCAGAAGTGGCACTGTGGCTCAAGTGACAGAGCGTTAGCCTTGAACAAAAGAAGCTCAGAGACAGAGATCAGGCCCAGGACCAGCAAAAAACAAAACCCTGAACTGGAGCAAGGGTTCAAGGGGTAGGGTGCCAGCCTTGAGCAGAAAAGCTAAGAGTTTGAGTTCAAATCCCAGCACAAGCACACAAAAGAAGAAGAAGCGGGGGAAAGGGGAGGAGGATGAGCAGCGTGGGCCAGCTGGGTCTAACCAGCCTGACCTAGAGAAACAGGAGGATCTCGGTCCCCTAGCTACTGGTGGCCAGGCACCCGCCTGCGCACTCACCTGCGGCTGACTGCCGCCTCCCCAGTGAGGGCTAGTGGGCTGCCAGGAGGTGGGGTGCAGAAGGGACTCCCTGGCCGGGGACTGAGGGAGGTTGGACTGGAGTAGGAAGACCGCAGGGAGGACTGGCTGTCAAGGTGGGTCCTCAGGGAGCCCTGTGGAGAGGCACCAAGAGACCATAGGACCCTGGGCTCTGCCTGGCCACAGGACCTCAGGATGGCCAGTGTGCTGGCCTTCTGGGCGGATCAGCTTACCTGGAAGCGAGTTGCAAGCACTTCCAAGGAGCCCTCTCCATTGGCCTGCCCAGGAGAGGCAGCTCGAGACCTGAAGGGACAACACAGAGTTTTGTCACAGATGCCCTGGACCCCACCTCCCCTCCCCAGCTCCTTCCAGCCCTCTCTGACACTCTTCCCCAAACTGGTGCTCAGGATCAGCAAAACATCCGGGACACTAGGCCATGGGGTTTGTCAGCTTTTCACTTTGACAAGTTCAAAAGAAACAACTATCATCAACAACGTGTTTCTTAAAACACAGGTGGTTTCAGCTCCCTGAGGTAGGAAGAATGGAGTTGCAGCACAACAGTCAATAAATCCAATTGTACTGGACACCCCTTGCGTCATCCGAGCCCTTCTTCCTTTTCATTTTGTTTAAAGTTTGTCACAGCACAGCTACCCGTGTGTACATCAGTTTGGGAGGAAAATGGATGGTTTCCTATGATCTTCCGTACATGTACGGGTGTGTATGGACGCATCTCCACCCAGGGGCTCATGCCTGCTTGGTGAGTACTTTACTGCTTAAACTACGCCCCCAGCTTAGAATCCTGTGTAGTTTACCTCATGGAGAAAGTGAAGGCCAGAGAGGGAAAATTAGTTGCCCAAAGTCCCCAAACCTGTCAGTGCTCACTCTCCCCGCCCCACAGGCTCGTCCCTGGTCAGCTGTGTCATTGAAGACACCTTTGAGAGCGCCATTGGTGGGCGGGTCCTTTCCTCAGGCTCCTCCCCCATAAGGAAAGGGATGCAACAAGCTCCCTTTCCCAGTCACACAGCTAAAGGACCTCGGGCAACGAGCAGGCCCCAAACCCCCCCCCCCCAGCAATAACAGCCAGCCAGAGGGGCTCCTCCTCACCCAGCTCTTTCCAGAGCCCTTCCTAGGGATGCCAGCTGGAGGCTAGAATGAGAAGGCACTGGTGTGAGGAATCGCAAGGGTGAGGAGACAGCTACTGACCCCCGATACTGCGCACCGTCCTCTTTCTGGCCAGTGTTGGCCACTTCTAGAGAGACTGGGCAGCAGGAAACCCTGCCTCCTGGGGAGCACAGGGTTAGAGTAGGGGGTGCTGGGCTCTGGCTCCTACCCCAGAGCTTCTGAGTGCTGGGGCAGCCCTGGGAGGGGGAGTCAGGAGGGTAAGGAGGGGGCGGTCAGCAAAAGAAGGAAGAGACCCAGAGCCTTATCTTGTCTGGGGTAAAGCTGGGGACCTGATAGCCAGGAGGGACCTGAGAGGAAGAGATGGTGTCAGCGTTCCCTGCCCCTCCCCCAGACCCACACTTCAGCCCTCCTGTCCATTTTGGTCTCATTCCCAGATGCCATGAGGTACTCTCCACCCTCCGCCCGAGGTCCCACTCTTGCAAACATTCAGAGGGCAGACTGGCATGAAGGGGTCCGGCCCCTGCCAACCCCACAGGCAAGTCCTGGAGAGAAGCGAGAGTCTGGAGATAGCAGACCCAAGGCGGCCTTCCCAGAAGGCTCTGCGGCCTGGGGGAATCTCCCAGCATTCCTAATCTATGACTCACAGCGGTGCCCCACCCCAAGGAGCCACCTGTTCCCCCCACAACTCTGGCATCAAGACTCAAGCTCCTGTGAGCCAGGAACCTGCCTTCCCTCTCGGGGCTTAACGCAGTGATGGACACAGACATTAAGCGTGCCGTGATGAACCCCCAAATGTCTTCCTCCACCTGCATCAAAACAAAGGGACCCTGGAGATCCTGCCTGGGCATACCTTCCCCTCTTCAACCACTTGATGTCCACACCCTGTGACCTGCACACTCTAGGGAACCAGTCAAACTCGGGCTTCCAGGTGACTGGTGCCAGCTGGCCCTGCCCAGCCTGTGGCTGCATGCCCAGCCCGGTGCCCCCTTTCCCAGCTGGCCACAGCCTACCCTGCAACCCTTTCCTGGGCTGCAGACATAGAACTGGGAACCTATACATATATGTGCCATCTGGGAAGTCTAGGTTGGGGCCACACTAGAGGCTGTGGGCAGGGGTGCGTGTGGGCAGCTACCCAGCTGGTAGTGGGTGGAAGGAAAGAAAGGCTGGCGGGGCCCAGAGGAGGTGAAGGGCCTACCTACCGGTCCAGCTGCAGTCGCAGGGGCGAAGCGCTCTGGCGGATCTTGCTCTGGGCCTCAGCATGAAGCATGCCCTCTGCACTCTCCCCATTTATGGCCACAATGATGTCGCCCGGCCGGAGGTCAGCAGCCTCAGCCTTTCCCCGCTCTGTCACCTATTGGGTATGATGAGTTGGGAGCTGGGGAGTCTTTGGTACCCAGCACCCACGCTGGGACAGTGGTATATGTGGGGAAGGGTAGAAGAGAAGGAATTCCCTTGAAGAGAAGGAATTCCCTTCAGAGGAAGGTCAAACCTTTGACCACCCCCCCTTCTTTGCCCTTCACTGCCAGCTACCCAGCTAATCCCTCCAAAGCTCAAGTGGCACCCATCCCCCCCTCCACCAGCGTGCTATGAGAGGCCTCCCATGGAATGTGAAGGCAGAACGGCATTAACGGAGCTCAGAAATACTTGTGGATCATGAACCCGGCCTGCACAAATCACACCTTGCAGGTGATTGCCTGTGTACTGCCTCCATGTGCATGATGGCTCTGGAGCCAGGGCTGGGGCCTAGGCCGAGGGGAAATGATCAGGAACTCTTAGGGGCCTATAACCACTCAAATTGGTGCCAGCAGGTGTGGGGTGAGTGACCAGGGAGAACAGGGCAAGCCCTGTCCTTCCTTCCTTCCTACCTTCCTTCCTTCCTTCCCTCCTTCTTTCCTTCCTTCCTTCCTTCCTTCCATCTCTCCTACCTTTCTTCTTTGTGCTGGTATTATGACTTGAACTCAGGGCCTGGGTGCTGTCCCTTAGCTTTTTCACTCAAGGTTGGTGCTCTACCCCTTGAGCCACAGTTCTAGTTCCAGCTTTTTGGTGGTTAATTAGTGTCAAGAATCTCATGGAGGGGCTGGGAAGTTGGCTCAGTGGTAGAGCACTTGCCTTGCATGCATGAGGCCCTGGGTTCGATTCCTCAGCACCACATAAGCAAAAAGAAAA